ATATGATAATGGTCAAGTTCTGAACTCTCTTCATGTAAAATTTTAGAGCAGAAACTGTTTTCCTCCAGATTCATGAAGAAAAAACATAACTTAATGCTGATGGCTCATCACCTCTATCACCCCTCCATATCATTCAAAAACTGATTATTCACTTCTTAATAAATTGACAAACTGCAGCACTTTTCATCAGTCCAAGGACTCCAAGCATATCCACTATCAAATAATTTAAACGTTTTTAATTTCAACAACAATATATATACAATACCAATATTTTTGACAACACCTGTAAGATGCATCATTCAACTTGGGCGGTTACAGTGTTTGGAAATATACTCTCATGTAATACATAATCAACTGAAAATGCTCAATGAAAAAATAATTAAAGATGTTCTGAACCTCAAAAGTGACTGTGCCCCCAGAAGTTGCAGATTGCCTAAGGGTCACAGCAGACACAGCACCATTTGCTGAGAGAATACAGACAGCCCTTGGTCCCTGCTGTGAAAATGATAAAATCTTTGCGGCAATGTCCTGCACATAAAATAAAGTATGAATACCATCAGTATGTACCACAACATCTGTGAAAGACTTTTTAAACTTTCCACATGGAAAACATGCAAGGTCAACAAAAATTTCCAGAAAGGACATTGGGAACGACAAATGTATGATGCTTTCAAGCAGTATAGTTACAAATGAATTATACTTAACAATTATTGATGGAAACAAAATAATCCGCTATGTAAATAAAAATAAAGAATGTAGCATATAATTTGGATAATTAACAACAGTCCCATACAGTTTCTTAATTGCGAATTGCAACTTGGATCTAAATTACAAGTCACTACAGCTTTCTTAATAGATAAGAGCTTTACAGAAAAGGGATGTGAAACACAATGGCACCACATCAATGACCATGTCTGTAAAGCATGGAAAAACCAAATCACCGATGAATATACAAGAGAAACAAGCAGATACGATAATGCTTCAACATAAGTCAAGTTATATCTACAGAGCTTAATACTTAATGCCAACCACAGTGGCAACTAAAATACGGAACTTCCTGGGAAAAATAAAAATGGCGCAATTGTGGCTTGTTTCAACATTATTTACTAAAAGAATTTCACCTAAAACATAAGCAATTTTACAACCATATTCATCTTTTAACAGGAATAAGAAATACTAACAGTGTTCCTCTTGATTCAAGCAAGTTTCACACAAGCAAAATGATGGAAATTTCTGTGATCTTGGGAATTAATTAATATGCAATGTCAAGTTGAAGGATTTGGTTCATTAATGAGTATCTGAATTGTCTTTGCAACACACACACACACACAAAAAGAATGCACTCACAGTTATGAAACTCTGATATCTGGGCACAATCATTTGAGTTTCACAATACACACAACAGTAAAGACCGTGCAAACTTAATAACATCTGAGTGATGACATAACTCATACTGTTATCCAGAAAGAATATTTTCCTTCAGCATGCCACCCCAAAAAGATTATCAATGACATGAGAGCTATTGAAACAGGACATATTAAAACCCATTATATTAAAAACAATAGAACTCACACCTCTCCTTCTGCAATTGTTATGATATGTGGAGTGAAGCCAGATCCAGCTGAACCAGCAAACCATTCACCTGTTGAAAGACAGTTGACAAAGAAGCTTTCACACACTATTTTGGCAGTTTATGTGGGAATCAAGAGGAAGCAATTAAAAGTAAACTGAAACCAAATAAGCAAAAGTAGAAAATAGTTAGAGCCAAGAAGCTCACAATATTCTTGTAATGTGTTGAACCTTTAATATGATTATGGTTATTTAAACTTCAATTTTTCATACAGTTCTCGCGGCACATAAATAATAGAGCATTCACTCAAGTTACAGCAAAGAACTATTACAATATTCTCGACCTTATCCACCATAACCAATTGGATCGTGAAAGAGAAAGGGAAGGAACAACTACCTTTTTTAAGTCGAGACAACATAGTTATCTTCCTATTGTCAGATAAAGCCCCTCTATTTAAATAATCTATCTTTCAAAGAGGCTAAAAATATAAGGCAAAGCTGTTGGCCATCGTTTCTTTCTGAAATAAAGATTCTCATAGATACTAGTACTGGTCGTATAGCATGAATATCCACCACCTCATTGCTCAAATTGAAACGATTTCATGTCCATATCAGACAACGCAGCCTTGCATCTTCCGGCTATTTAACAAAGAGGCATCAGATGGAAGAAAAAAAAGGGAGTATCTTTCACAGAGGAGAGCCAAAAGAGAGATCTTTAACCCACCCAGTGATGCTAATTGTTGCTTCCTCCCAGTGCCGGGTGGCCGCCCCCTCCGCTTCTGCGTAGGAGCGCCCGACCCCGACGCCATCACTGTCCCTGGAGGAGCCGCGGACGAGGAAACAGGCGAGAGAGCCAAAGCTACACTCCCATCCGGCCCATACTTTCTTGGCCTGCCCCTCTTCCTCTTCGCCGGTTCCACCTGGCTCCCTCCTTCGCCCAGATCGCCGCCACCGCCGTCGTGTGACGAGACCGCTGGTGGAGACTCCACCTGAAACGCTGCCGTACCAAGGCCAGAGGACGGCACGGCCAGACTCGTGCCAGGGTTCAGCATCGACCGGATCCCGGGCTGTGCCGCCCCATGCAGCCCAGGCTGCGAACCAGCACCCGGACCTGGAATTCCTCTATGCGCCATGTAATACGAGGATGGGCCGGACATCGCCATGGCATCTCTCCCGTCCATGCAGGAGCTGTTCCTCCCTCCCTGAAGACTGTCAGCACGAAACTCTACCCGAATCAACCAAGATCCGAACTTTAGGGTTCGGATCGCGACCAGAAGTCCCAAAGTCGATACCTAGCTGAACGAGCCGAGAGCAGATGGAGAAAATCCGGGTGCCATTTCCGCTTTATTCAACCAGCAAAAATCCACCTCTATCCTACGATTTACCCCTCCTCGTCTCTTCTTCAATGCAAAAAAAACGTGAACAGCGCTGCAGAGAGAGCGCGAGTTTCGAAAGCTTCCTTTTCCCGGAAGAATGGCGAGAACCAAGGCTCGGCGCGGATTGGTGGAACGATCTAGACAAGGAAACGCTGCTGTTAAAGCTCAGAACCGCTTCCCCAGAAACCCGAGCTCCCTCTTTCTCTCCCTCTCTCTATCTCTGATCCTTCTCCTCCTCTTCGCAACTTGCAGAGAGAAAGTTACCAGCGACAACAGGAAAAGCAGACGACGGAGATTACAGTCGTAAACGAGGGAGAGTAATCAACACGGCAGGCGGTCTCCGGAAAGAAGAAAGGAAGAAAAAGCTCGTATTTTTATTTCTGGCTAATTCTGGGGTCTGAGGGAGCCGAGAGAGAGAGAGAGAGAGTGTGTGTGTGTGTGTGTGAGCGCGTACGGTGGATACGGTGATGATCGGATAAATACAAAACCTGCTTTATTTCTATCCCCCCCCAAAATAAAAAATAAAAAGAATAAACAGAAAGTAAGCGATATTATCCAAAGGAACGAACTCAGATACTTGCTGCAAGCGCTAGGACAGCACACTCCCCTCCGAATGGGACCCACCTCCTTCTGACTTATCCGAGGGCGAGAACAACTGCGGACCCACCTTGGCGGTATCAAATGCGTGGAAGAGTTTATGCGGAGGCTCACATCGATTGTCCAAGTCTCTGGTTTCACGAATCGCGAGGCAAAGAGAGGGCGCTGATTGAATTCTACCACGGAGGCTTCTGTGGGCTCGTTCGTCGGGAAGTCACGAACTCATGGAACTACCCGCAAAGGCTCATGTGGGTCCGATTTCAAATCCAATCGCTAGGCAGGTGGTGTGACGGGGAACGGATCAAAGAGTAGGAAACGTATCCGCTCTCGGGAAGTTGGATTGCGGGTCGAGCTGTCGCGGGAACGGCGGCGAGGCCTTCGCCAACGTCGATGGCGAGGTCACCCGAGCAGTCCGATCCGGGGGGGACGGAGATGGACGCGCGACACGCGCTCCACGTTTGGAGCGGCCGCAGAGAGGTTTAAATGGGGGCGTCGGGGACCCCTGCGTCCCGCGCTGCCTGCAACTGGGGCGGTGAGCATGGCGCAGCTTTTCCAGCAGAACATGACGCGGGCATCCTCGGAATTCGTGTGCTCGGCCTCACGAACTCCAAAGTCCACCATCATCCGACGCTGCGCTGCCAATCTCCGCCCCACCTCCTTTCCCGTGGTTAGATTTCACCTGCTGCAGGACGATGTGTCCTTTATGTGTTCGGTTTCTTAGAACACATCATTGCACTGAATCGCTATTTTGATTGAAAGAAAATGGAGTCCAACAATGTATATAGACTTGAATGTATTAAAATAATTCAGCAAAACAAACAAGTCTATAAGACAGAGAGAGAGAGAGAGTCTCTGAAGGCATGTTTTTTGTCCTCGATAAACCTTTTCATGCACTTCATAATAGACACCAAGGATTAAGCAGTTATATATCATCGCGAGGCCAAGTGAGTCAACCGATCAACATCTCACACTCTTTCAGGAGTCAAACAAAGGAGCAGCTGTACCACGTCTTGGCCAATTTGGCAGGCAAGTTGTGCCAAAGAGATCAGCTGGTGGAACCACCACAGCTTCGCATTTGGATAAGCATGGATGGGGGGCATTCATGGTGACAATGACCACAAAGAAAGTGTGAGACTGGGCGGCTCATGCCATGGTCTCAGCACTTTGCCATCACTGTTGCACTGGTGAGCTTTAGGCCAATAAGACTGGGGGAAAGAAAGGCTTCGATGCTGTGCTTTTGGGTACATGGATATCATGCTTCACACTGAAGTCAAAAGTTTGTTTGGGGACAAAGAGGAAGGCTTTCAATGTGATCTTTCAACCTTTGGGCATTTTGCAGGTGAAAGGGTTCTTTCATCATGGATGATGCAATATTCTTATTTATCTGATTATTACTCTATTGTTTTCGACATTATGAGTAGGATTATGTTGCAGTGTACATAGATATAAATGATGGCATCACAGGCATTTAGCTATCACTCTTTGAAGTGATCTCTCTATCATTGTTGGTGAGGCAGCAGCGGTGCTTCTCATCTGCAGTGAAGACCATAAGCAAATCAGTAATGGAGATCAGCACAGGAGGCAATCTGCTAGTGGTGATTTCGGAGGCATCCGAACCTTGGATTCTAGTGTCAATGCAAGCATGCCATCGACAGTGGACGACTGCACCGAGAGAGGATCCAAACGGAGGTCGCTCATCGATCCAATGATCTCTAACAGCAAATGTTCCCTCCATGGGCAGCGCATCTCGATCGACACCTCTTTCTCCTTCATGGTGATTGTGACATGGATCGGACCATCCTTGGACACGGCCCAGTTGTGCTGGGTCTCTGCTTCGTCGACGTCACATGCTTTCCTCTTGCCGTTCATGATCTCTTCGTTGCCGGATGTTCTCTCTGCTACAGCAAAATGCTTCCTTCGCTCAACCGACCCCCGGCAGGATTCCAACTCCTGCACTCTTCTCTCGAGATCTTTCAGGTACTCTATGGTGTCATCAAGGACGGATGCCTTGTCAACCTGATGAAAGAAAAAGTAATTTATGAGCGATGAAGAAGAAGATTCGAAGAATTGCCATAAATTACCTTGCTGACCGAAGGAATTAGTGATCTCAGAACAAGAAACTTCTCATTCAGCTTCTCTCTTCTCTTCCTCTCTGACAGCACATGACTTGCACGGGCGCCTCCTTCTGGTCTCCAAAATTTCTCCGGTAGCCCATTTTTCACTCGACGCTTCAGCCGGTGACCACCACCCAGCCATGCTCTATCCATTAAGATCTTCTTCAACAGTTCTTGTGGGGCTCTAACGCATGGCTTTGGGGTGTTCATGCTTTTTCTCCAGGTTATGAAGCTGGATCCGTGCGAAACCCTCGGAAAGCATGAATCAGGTTTTGCACGTTTTGAGTTCCGCAAGATGTTAGCAGAGCCATCAAGATCCAGTGACATGAGCATCTGATTTCTTGTTCTCTCCCCCACCGTAGAAGAGACAACTTTCTGGGCATTAACAAAGGACATTGATACACGCTCATTTGTGTTTAGAGAGCCATGCAGGCCATTGCTGGACTCATCCTCATCCTCATCATCACCAATGAACTGCCAATTCTGAGTCTGAGAGACGCCATCTAGCCAATCAAATCCAAATAAATCTTCAAGCTGCTGAATGGGGCAGCAGTCATTGGAGCTGTCACGAGAAGAACCTACATGTTTCCCGACCTTGCATTGGACTGAGTCTGATTGTTCAGCAGAGGCATACAAATGTGTTTGACAAATATTAATCTGTTTTTGGTTCTCCAAGAACATAGAATTATCTGTGTCATTATCAAGAACAGGGCATAACATATCTTCATCATTCTCAGCCACTTGGGGAGTGGATGTAGGTTGCTCAGAGCAAACTGGATTTGGTAGCTGATGGAAGAAACTTTTGATCTGCTTTATGAGAGCAGGATCCTCCAAAATCTTGAAAGTAACATCAAATTAAAGGAGGCATGGTTGCGTGAGAAGTCTAGATCATTAAATTTATATGAAATCCTCATAAGAACAATCGATTGAAACTTACGAATTCAGTTGTACCAAGCTCCAGTACACCACCCTTTATAGGGATGCATACCACTGTCTGCAAAACAAAGGAAACCATGACAAATGCAAAGGAAGAGAAGTTAGAATTGTCATTCACTTATTGCAGATATTACTTTAGGGTTTCACGGAATTTTAAGTATAATTAGTGTTAAAGAAACAATATTGCAAATCATACAATTGAAGCAACTTCAATGAAGACTGATGCTATCAAAGTTCAGCAAAAACATTTTGGAATTATTTATAGAAAAAAATCCAAGTTCAAGATTGAGAAACCGATAGCATTCAGATAAGATTGATACTTAGATCTTGAAATATAAGGCTTTTATGTTTGATAGTGTAGACTTGAGGTGATGAGTATTTATTATTCAGGTGGTTTTAAGGTAGGGCCCCATGTAGATAATTTTAAATGGTTTAGAGTAGAAAAATTTATTATAAAGATAAGCATCATAATGAGTTACAATTCTAATTAATTTGAAAGTTTGAAGAAAGTAACAAAAAAATAACTATTATTAAATGGAAGATGATGGATGATCAAGGTGACATATATCAATTGGAACAACAATTAAAGTAAAAACGATTGGCTAAGTGATTTATGAAGTTGACAACTATTCAATTGGAATAACTATTATTTTTATTCTGACATCAGACCAATGATGCTCCGCTCAAATCCTTTATAAGAAATGAGTTAGAAAAGAACTTAATAGAGGTGTTATTTGTTTGTAGAATTAAAAAATAGAAATGAGGTTCTTTTTAATGTGAGATGCAAATAAAATATTATCGAGTATAAAAGTATCAATATTTGAATTAAGTATCGTGGAACCAATGTAAATAATAAGGATTATGTTATCGTCACTAATGATAATATCTTCATTGCCTCTATAGTCGTTGTGGATGGATAAGTTCCACAGAGTAGAAATAATATGATAAGAAGCATCAAAGTCAATAATCCAATTGTTTGGATGAGTAGTCGGAGTAGTCATGATGTTTACTTGATGCCAATTAGGTATATTAGTAAATTTGGGTCGAGACCGACAAATTTTTATTATATATCCAATTTTGTCACAAAGCTAGTAGATAACTTTTAGTTGATTTTTATTGTTGGAACGCTATAGCAAATGATAATTATAGTGTAAGTTATTTCTTGAGTTATTTAGGTTGAAGTTACCACCATAATTTTAGAGTTGATAGTATAATGAAAGACGATGACTTTACGTACTACCAATGTGTTTATGAGATATTTTGTTTGGTCCTTTGTTGAAGTTTTTATTACTTTGATTTTTGTTGAAGTTTTTATTACTTTGATTACTCTTTCTTTTGATTTTTGATTGACTTGAGCTATGATAGTTGATCCCGTCATTGTTTTCAGATATATTTCATGATTAATCAACTTGTTATACAATTCTTCAAATAACATCAATGAGTCTTATGCTTGAATTTGTATTGCTAGTTCCTTATATTCATCTCCTAAGTCATTAAGAGTATGGACAATAACTTTTCATTACTCACGGGATGATCTATTAAAAAGCTAAGTCATTCATGATAACTTTTATATTATATATATAATTATTAATAATAATTTTTTTTTATATTGTTTTCATCGAAGTAGATAAGAGACTTAATATACGATTGCGAGAGCGATTGGTGATACCTTGATGTAGATCAACGCAAGAACCAATAAGGGGTTGGAGAATTATCATTCTATGAAGGATTCAGATCTATGAGGAGGACACCTCGACCGTCGGAGAGGAGCAAGGGTACTCACTAGAGTTAGATCAGATCCGCAACATTGATGGTTGCAAATCTATAAACAATATTAGCATAGGACGACTGAGCAGAGGAGGAAACAAACAATGGCAAATCAATAGAGAAGTGGGATTGAGGTTGTCGGATAACGAGGAAGGAGAAGTTTTGCTCGAGGTAAGAGGAGCTCCAATATAATGTAAAATCGAGAAATATATAGTAAAAAATATTATTTTCATTTATTGAAGTAACGAGTATTTATATAGATTTTGAAAAAGAGAGATATTTCCCTTAATCATGCACTCAAATCACATAATCAATCAAATCAACTATTTAAATCTATGATTGATCCTCAAATCATAGATTGATCGAAGATATCACCTATAACTTTACTTTTTTTACTTCGATCCAACAACCTAATTAGCCACTCTACCCAATTTTGATATTATTACAAGTTGACCGTCATACGAGCATTCGAGACACCTTCTTAGTTATTTTTAGAGTCCTATACATGTGGCTCAAGGCCAAGTCGAGTTGATATAAATGTAATCGACTATCACACCACGAATGCTCAAACTTTCGAGGGATTGTGATGTGAATCTTGAATATTTTTTTATGAATTCTATGGAGATTAATAGTGACGTGAATCTTGAATAGGAGTGAAAGATATTTGCATTAATTTAAAATTTTGGGCTCATGGGTTAATGCAAAAGATGGTGTATTTTATCAAAAAAAGAAAAAGAAAAAAATAAAGCATCTAAGAATGGGAACTATATGATCCGCTAATGATTCTGATAACGGTAGAAAAAAAGAATTTTAATTGTTTGGCATGTATCATCAATCTGAAGAGACAACAAATAAAGGGTCCATGGTATTAATGATCAACTGCAACTAAGACTGCAATTGTACCTGAACAGATGCAGCCTGCAAGTGTTTGTGACGTTCCACGAGAAACATGTCAGTAATGAAAGAGCATCCAAACATTAGCTTTGTATCGAATCATCTAATTACTGAAACATAATTATGATTACTGGCTATTCCACCTTTGCTAAAAGAGAGCGTGCAAATTCCTTGCTATCTGAAAACTGGTAAGTGTTCAACCAGATGTGTTGATTGTTTGCTAGTGCTTTACCTGGCAACCTGAACAACACCTGAAAGCTAAGTCGAAGAGAAAGCTTTGACATGATCATGAAATCTAAGAACAAGTGATAGTGGCAAAGGCAGCCTTGGGCTTGTAAGAAGAAGAGTGTTGTACGTACCCTTGTCCTGTGCTGAATGTGAAGGACATGCAAAGCATGTAATACCACTCTGCCTCTGTCAAATCCTCAGGAGACAGTGAAGCAGAAGGCCTTCTGATCTGCCGATTGCACTCACCTGATAGAAGTGATTCATACAACTCTCTCAGTTGCTTGCTCCTCTGAAGGCCCACTTGGTCAATGTCAGGCTCTGTTGATTGCGTCGTCTTCCTCGTCTTTATCTCACCATTGTAGTGTCCCTCACTCCATTCCAAGACACTAACAAAACAGAGTAGCAGATGTTCTAGCCAGTTAAAAGACCAGATGTAAGAGGGGGGGAAAGAAGAGGGAGCAGCTTCTTTACCCTGGTTGCCTGGTGGAGGTGGACCAGAAGAACGCATAGCTCCACTGGATCTTCCTAACTGTAACAGCGAGTTGCTTGCTTAGTTTCCTCTCTGGCAGTTCTTCATGGATATTGAGATCCGCCACCATTGCTGGCCGAAGAACTGGATCTCCACCGGACATGAAGGCAATTGCCACCAGCTACAACCTCAGAAGAAGGTCTCGTCTTGTCATGGAATGTTTTCCTACAGATATCACAATCATCAGAGGAGATTAATTCACATAGCTTAACCCAAATGCTTTCAGTAATCGGTGCAGCTCGGACATGCTAACTAAGGAGTCGAGCGCATGGAGGAGTAAAATTGAGTTCGAGATCCACCGAGCAAATGCCAGACGCAGTGGTGCACGAACTGAAGCTTCTCCCATCTCTGTTATCTTCCGGCTAACTTAATCTTCCTACCGATCTCACACGTCTGTCAACCTTCATCGTCTCACTTGGCCATCATGCATTTATCATGCATCACATCGTGCCTGGAGAGAGGGACGCATCTCTTCCATCACTGGAATGTGAGTTGGGACAAACAAAAAGCTTTGATGTGAGACACCAAAGCCATTAATAACTCGAACCAACAACAACACTGTGGAGTCTGTAGAACGATGAAGATCTCTGCTACTCGTCTTCCCAACCCAGTTAGGTTGCCATCCCACCATCTGAGTCGTCATGCATGAAGTACCAAACTCTCGCCCCGTAATGCAAACTGGACTTCCTGACATTGTCTTGCTACAAAGCAAGCGTGCATGCCATTGTCCTACGTGATCATGACCGGTCCGCACGAGGATCATTGGTTCGCTGTGTTTGAATGCATGCTTGGCAGCAGGAACATGGTCACCTATACGTCCGTCTTCTCTTCTTTTTCTTCTTCTCTCATCCTGTTGATTCACCTCCACCGGACTTGCTACCTTTATTTTGGGTCCTCTGTTTTCCAGCTTCAAGGACATGGCCGGGTGATGGCTACGTCGTCATTAAACTCGAGGTCACAGCCTCGGCGGTGATCTGAATTGACCAATGTATCCAAGGATTTATTAGATAGAATATGATGGTCGAACGTTAAAAATCTTATCCAATATAAATTGCATCATAATCTAGTCAAAGATTGAGAGCTTGAAACCTCATCCAACATATTTTTACGTCTTAAGTGTTAGCCTCATGATAGTGCGATTTAGTCTAATTGGTAAAGATTTTGATAATTTATCGTAAGATTTTGAATTCAATTTTTTTTTTCTTTTTTTAATTATTATTTTTTTGTTATTTATTTTTTATAACAAAAAATGATATTTCAAACTCTTGATCTCCACTAGCTTATGATCAATATTTTAGATATGGAAAAAAAATTCGATGAAGTCTCAAAATAATATTTTACTATCAAAATAATATTTTTTTAATATATAAAATATATTGAATAAAGTTTCAAAATCTTTTATATATATATATATATATATATATA